AACTCTGTGCATTTTAATTATGTAAATCATACTTCAATAAACAGACAAAAATATATTTGAGGTGAAATTCACTTTATATTCTGAAGAATATGAGGATTTATGAAGGAATGATGGGAAACAGCCTTGAAAATATTTCATTAAAATCTTCTTGAGGATTATAGTGCAAAAGAATATCAGAACAGTATTATCTTTAATATTAAAATTAATATTTTAGGGGCACCTGGGTGGCTCAGTTGGTTAAGCGTCCAACTTCAACTCAGGTCATGATCTCACAGTGTGTGAGTTTGAGCCCCACGTCAGGCTCTGTGCTGACAGCTCGGAGCCTGGACCCTGCTTTGGATTCTGTGTCTCCCTCTCCCTCTGCCCCTCCCCTGCTCACGCTCTGACTCTCTCTTTCAATAATAAATAAACATTAAAAAAATTTTTTTTAATTAATATTTTAACGTTTTTAAATTGTAGAACAATAATGAACACAAATAGAAACTCCAGTGTATTACCTTTTTTAGCCAATGTTTTATTTTTCCTATTAAAATATTTTTGAGTTTATTTTGAGAGAGACAGTGTGAGTGGGGGAGGGGCAGAAAGAGAGAATGCCAAGCAGTCTCTGCACTGCCAGCACAGAGTCCAATGTGGGGCTCGAACCCACAAAGCCAACCATGAAGCCAAACCTGAGCCAAAACCGAGAGTCAGATGCTTAACCGACTGAGCTACCCAGGCACCCCTCCTATTAAATTTTTTTTTATCAAAATAAAATTAACTATTATGAAATCCACAGATGTTGAGTGGACAATCCAGTGAGTTTTGACAAATGTATACCCCTGTGTGTCAGACATCCAATCAAGAAATAGAATGTTTCCATCACCACAGATCTAATATATTGGTTATATTCTTTCCCTGCTGTCCCTGGAAGATTATGGAGGTTAGTGCCAAATGCTTTGGTTTTCATAACTACTATGACAAATAACAACAAAACCCCAACATTATTAGAACCATTAAGGATGATAATTGTGGCAGCTGATAAGAAGTTAGTTGATCTCTGTGACTGTTCTAGGAACCCTAGGCCCAAATTGTGAAAAGTCCCTGAGAGAGCTAGTATTTAGAGTGTTTTAATATAAATTCCATAATAGTACTAGTAATGCATAATAATGTCTTAGGTGTGACATTCCTATGACCTAATTAACCAGTGTAAGGTTATAAAGAATTACCTCCCTTTAATTGCCCTAATTTTTCTTTTGTTTCTGGTTGCCCACATACCTACAGTACCTGGGTTTTAAATATTTCGCCGATAGGATAGGCTAGTAGTTCATAGTAATAATAGCAGATCCTTTCCATCATATTTCATCCTAAAAGAACCCTTAGTTAGTACTTTCCAGATGGTTTATAATAGGTAAAAATCAATGAAATGCAGGCACCTTTTTGGTAGACTATGCTTTAAACAAAGTGACAAAGCAAGTTACAATTTGTGAAAGATATTGAAGGAGAATGTCATATATTTGAAATTATGAAGTGAACATTCATTTTTTTTTTTTTTTGGACAGAAAAATCAATGCCCAAATTTTAGTTTTGCTAACATACAAGGTTTGACCTCTTTACAAAGGGTACAGCGGTATTTGGGCTGATCATAGAATTTTTTTCTTAATAGTGGTGTGAAATATCTCTAAGGACTCACTAAATATTACAAGCAGTTATAAATTATTATAGAATTGTGACTTATTGATTTCTCTTTCCTTAATTTTATTCACATCCTGAATTCTTTCCCTTCTCTACCTAAATCTAGGCTTCTCACTTTTTCTTTCTTTGTTTTCTACAGGATCTGGTAGCTAGCCCTCCTTATTGCTGAGTGGAAAGAATGCTGAACTTCTCATATAGAAGCTCAGTCTTCCCTGAAATCCCAACCTTCTTAACTGTTCCTGGTGTGGGTTAGGTGGGCTCTAGGATCACTTTTAAGCATCTTCAGGGTTTTAAAGTTAGAGGACCTTGGTAAAACTTTAAGAGGAAAAAAAATCTTAGAGAGGTAAGATTATGCCCTTATGTGTATCCATAGTCAGTTATATAAAAATGTGTTTTTTATTGAAGAATATTTAGTGGGATAGTAGGGGACAGTAGATTTTCGTTTTTCCCTCTTTGTATAGTAATTGTAGACAGACATTTTTCCTTTTAACCAACATAGATGGCCAAAAAAAAAAAAAAAGCAGAAGAGAAGCCTCAGTATTTTAAGGTGAGGGAAAAAAATACACACACACACACACACACACACACACGTATGCACACAAAGACTTATTTTATGAAAGCTAGAAAATGGTTTTCAAGGAGAAATGTATGATCTATAGTTGTAATGTTTAGATATTTGGCAATTGGAAAAAATAATTTTTGGTAAAATAGGAAAACAGATAGACATAAATGTACATTAGGGTAGTGACTTTCATTTCTTGTACATACACAGTGAAATAGTTCTGGGCAATAAATTCTTGGAAAGGTAGGGTAGGATTGGATAAATGTCATAGTTTATGACTGAATACATATAAACAGGTGAAAACTCAAGGTGGAGCGGTAATAATAACCACCTGATAAAGAGACTTAAAACCTTTTCACCTTACAAAAAAGATTGCTTTAGAGTCATAACTTGATATTATAGTTTGATTTTTAAAAAAGGTATTAGTTATATTTGTGGCTACTATGGATACATAAAATAAAGAATGGAATGCCTTTTGTTCCCCCAATACAAAAAAAGTATTTATCATATAAAACCTTAACTGTAAAAAAAAAAAAAAAAACAAAAACTGATGCTATAGACACTGGAACTAATACCAAGATTATTGAAAAAGGTGATACAGCCACTATTTCTGCCATAGTGTCTTAGAAATAAAGAACAGTTGACAATGAAGAATTTTGTAACTATTTCAGGTCAGCTACCAAACAAAAGTTTAATTCTACAATGTTGGCAATATCATAAGCTTTCAGACTTTTTGTTATGCCCCCAATCCAGCCTATGCCATCTGTATCACCTCCAGATTTCAGGTTTTTCGTACCTTTATTTTCACTTATCTAAACTTCACCTTTCTTCCTTACAAGAATCCTTCTGTAAGATTACTGCAGCCCACCTTGACTTTTCCTTTCCTCTCAGTTTTTGGTAACACCTATGCTACTGCTAAGACCTCTTCTCTGCTGTTTGTTCAGAGAACAATTTGTTCTCTTTCTTTGTACACATTAGTTAGTAAGTGCTGGGTGATGAGTAAGCATTACAGAAAACAATTTAAAGGGAATTCAGAAGAACAAGCAGTTAATAGTGTGATAATGGGTGTCGGGAGGAAGTGGATCATAAATGAGGACCTAAACAAAAGAAAGACTAGATCTTGGGGAAGATAAGAAAGAGGGCATTCCAGCTAGATCACAGAATGAGCTGAGGCCCAAATGTGCATAGTCTAAGTGACTGAGACTACAGGGGTCATTTCACATTAGATGAGAACGAATGAACAAATGAATGTATTCAAGGTAGAGTGGCTTAGCCAAGGTTACTGGACTGTTCCTTTTACATCATTCATTCATCCACACATTTTTGAGTTCTAGGGTACAAAGATGAAGAAATGACATTTATTTTCAGGAACTCAAATTCTAATGGGGCAGACAGAAATGTAAACAATTATTAAAATTTACTGTCTCCAGGGGTACCTGAGTGGCTTAGTCCATTTGTGGTAGAGCCCCTCCCTAAGGAATGTGGTAAAAACCTCAAGACAAGGAAGACAGCCTGGATCTGTGCTCATGCGCAACATTCCTCTTGACTCTCTAACATGGACCGCCCAATCGGCCTGTGTGTTATCATATATGGAAGGCAAAGGAGCAAAAATTGTACAAAAGGCAACACACACACACACACACACACACACACACACTCCGCTGCACTCAGGGCTCAGCCTTTTGGAGGTCTTAGCCTGCTGAGCCTGTGTTGGCACAAATAAATCTGCTTCCTGGAAAGAAAAGCCTCAGTATCCCGACACTCTGTGTATGACTGGCCTCAACAAGTTAAACACCCAACCCCTTTGTTTTTAATATAAGGATTATTTTAGGCTGGCTATTTTTTTTTTTAAGTTTATTTGGAGAGTGTGAGGGACAGAGAGAGAGGGGGAGAGAGAATACCAAGCAGGCTCTGCTGTCAGCACAAAGCCCAATGCGGGACTTGACCTCAGGAACCATGAAATCATGAGCTGAGCCAAAATCAAGAGTTGGATGCTTAACCAACTGAGCCACCCAGGCACCCCCAAGCACTCAACTCTTGATCATGAGATTGAGCCCTGCTTCAGGCTCCAGTCCCAGCGTACTTAAGATTCTCTCCCCCTCTTCTCTGTCCCTTCTCTGCATCTCCCCTACTCACATGGGTGCTCTCTCTCTCAAAAATAAAATAAATAAAATTTACTATTGCCAGTAAGAGATATGTGCAAGGTGTATGGGAACACAGAGGAGAAAGCTGCAGAGAGGATTTGCATAGGATAGACCAAATTCTCAAGGCCCTTAAATGCCATACTCAATTGTTTGAACATTATTTTGGTTATCCTTAAGACAAGTCACTGTGTCAGCAAATTTGTGAAGGTTTAAGACAGCACTTATCCTTCCTAGGATTTCCTTGTGGATTTTCGTAAGAGAAACTTATGACAGTTTCCCTGGCCTAGCCCCATAATTATACTTCAGGTCCAGCAGACGGCAAAAGTCAGGATATAATTGGGAGAGTCAGTCATCTCTAAACTGTTTGGAAATACCATCTCAGATGGTAGTAAACTTTTAATATTAAAATTTCATAAATATCAAGTTGAGATGCCCTAATTAGTGTGGAGACCTGAAATAGCTACAAAAGTTGGAAAAATAGTGTTCACTTTGGAGGTGGTAATGGAGTATATTTAAAATCTGAAAGAAAGATCAAGGAAAATCATACTGGTTTGAATTTTGCAAGTTTTAAAAGACATTCTCAACTAAATGTATTTTTGTCTCAAATTAATATTTATTTTCAGTCATTTGATTCTTCAAAAATCCCAAGGAAGAACAGTATTACAACTTACTCTCCAACAACTGGAACTTGTCAAATGAGCCCATTTGCTTCTCCTGCAAGCTCTAAAGAACAAGACCACAAAAGTGAACCATCAAATGGTTAGTTGAACATTCTTTTCCATTTATTGTAATATTTTTCTACTTATTGGCTAAATCAGAATTTTTATTTAATAATATATGGATCTTGCTGCAGCTGATTTTTCTTAAAGAATTCAACATAAAGAAGGCTAGAATATAGGTACTACTTTGGACATAAATGTAAACTTTCTAGGCACTTATTTTAAAATGCTACTGCAGACTTTGTTCCCTTACTGTCCCATCCATTAAACAGAAATTATGGTCTGACTGCCTTCAGCTACTATCAATTACAGTGGTTACAGATACACCCCTTAACAAGCTATCCATCATGTGCATAAATTAAAGGGCATATAATTCAGGTACTGCTGCACTACAGTTTAAGAGAGATACCTCTAAATGTTATTTTTATTCATGTTGTCCATTTAGTTTTATTCACATTTCGTTTATCTTTATATAGCTTGCTTTTATTTATTATATTTCATTCCCTTCTTTTCCTTTACTATTTTAAATGGATTTGCAAAAAAGTTGTAGTTTTCCACTAGAGGATAGCCTAATTTTACTATGAAATTGTTTATTTTGAAATATTGTTAATTTTGGCCATGCATATTTCTTGTTCTCTGGTAGTTTATTGCTAAAATATTTTTTAAAGATATATGAATCTAGATTTCATAGGTTTAATTTTTAATATTACAAAAAGTCATGAATTAGTAACATGTCAAGTTTCTGTAATATAAAATTCTAAGTAGGCTCAAATTTAATAAAATATATTTTAGATGTGCTGTGATTAGCCTAATTCATATTTTATTGTTTAACATTTATTGAGTGCTAAGAATATACTAGAAGCCACACAGAAACAAAGAAATCTCATTTTACCCAATTTGTTGTAATGAAACCTATAATAAGATCTTAAACTTTTGAATGACTTTTATTTTACTTTAATCAAATGCTTTTTATCTTAAAGCTATTACTATTAGGTTTGCTTTCACAAAAATGTATGAAGATGTATACATTTTCTTCAAGCTCTGTCTGTTTTTAATACACTTGATATATCTTTTGTTTAAAATTAAAAATTAGTGCCTTAAAGATGGCACATCACCATACTGAAATGTGAATAGATTTTAAGTGGATACCTGCTCGATTTCCATATTGAAATTAAATATGGACTTAAGGGAACATTCCTTTTGCCTATAAAAAGACTGGTCACGTGATCCCAGTTGACATTTAAGTGGATAATTATCACAGATTATAGTACTAAGTAAGCTCTTTTTTAAAAAGTCATACAGCAAGGTTCCTGGGGTGCTGGCAATATTCTATTTCTTAACTTACATGGTGGTTATACTGGTTCATTAAACTGTACATATATGTCTTATATATTCTTTGATATATATATCTCACATACAAAAGTCTCAAAATAGGAGAATTCTCTAGGATCTTATATCACATTATGTCATTTGTAATCATTACATTGCTCATCCTGATATGTCATCTTATACACATTTTAGAAATAAGAAAGTCTGACTCTTATGAAGTAATTTAAGTTCCAAATGATCCCATAACTTCTATTAACAGTTCTCAGTTTTTAAATATTATACAAAACATAAGGTGCAACTTAAATAAGCTCTTTTATTTAAATAGCATTTTCAAGGGCATTTTAGGTGCAATTCACTTCCCATCACACTTAGGATATAATTCAAAACCTTATCATGACTTTTAAGGCCATATATCATCTAATACCTGACCACCTCGTCTATCTCATTTTCTACTACCCTTCCCATGTTTACACTACCTTAACCACTCTTACTATCTTGCTATTAATCAATCACGTCAAACTGCTTCCTGCCACAAGGTCATTGCACTTGCACGTCTCTCAACCTGAAATACTCTTCCTCCTAAAATACTCTTCTTTTACATATTTCTTTTCTTTTCTTTTTTTGTTTTTAAGTTTGTGTACTTTGAGAGAAAGAGAGAGAGTGCAAGCAGGAAAGGGGCAGAAACAAAGAGACACAGAATCCCGAGCAGGCTCTGTGCTGTCAGCGTAGAGCCCAATGTGGGGCTCAAACTCACTAACTGTGAGATCATGCATGGTCTGAGCCAAGATCGAGTCAGATGCCTAACCAACTGAGCCACCCAAGCACCCCTTCCTCTGGGTATTTCTAAGTACTTTCTATATACATTTGAACTATGTACTGTGTGAACAGATGACTTAATACCAAATTTAAATCTATTTGTACTTCTAAAAGAAAGAAAGATCTGTTTCTCAGTCTTCCCTCTGCATAGATTCTACATGTGGGCCAAAAATAGGGTGACTGATTCCAGTTTATACTTTGGAGATATGTATATTTATTTACTTATCATTGTATATGTTTCTCACTGTTATATATGTTTATGTGTGTGTATCATTATATTGCTGCCCTCCGCTACTCCTTAGCAAATTTCTCCAAACTATTATGTTTTCGGTGAAGAGGAAGGATGCATCAGACTTAGTATTTAATAATTGAGTGGAAGGATAAACAACAAATTTGCATGGTCAAAGAGAGTCCTTGTGAATTAGACAGTAGATCTGTAGAAATCAGCCAGACTGTAGCAGTGTAATAGCACAGAGAGATAAAGAGATGGAGAATATGATAAAACGATAAAAAAAAAATGATGAATAAAATAAGAAGCTCCAACATATGTCAAATAGGAGTTCCACAAGGAGGAAATAGGGAGAATGGGGCTGAGGCAGTATTCTAAGACAAAAGGACCATCAGGGTTTTTTTTATAATTGCAATTTCACAATTAAGGAAAGATGAGAATTTCCAGGTTAGAATACCATGCTTAGTTTGAGCAGGATGAATTAAAACAAATCCTTACATATCATGGTAAAACTACAGAACATCAAAGACAAAGAGAAACTTTTAAAGGCCACCAAAGAAAAGACATCTAACCTACAAGGGAATGACAGACTGATAGTAGACTTTTCATCTATAGCAATAGATTCTAAAGGAAGTAGAATGATACCAACTAAAAATCACAGCTGATTTTTTTTATTCAGGAACTGAGGATGAAATAAAGATTTTTTTCAGACAAAGTCAGAAAGAATTTACCATTCACACATACTCCCTGAAAGGACTACTAAAACGTGTACTTACATAAGCAAACTGAGCCTCCAGTAAAGGAATGGACTGCAAAGAGCAATGGTGAAAAAATAAATTAGCAAACCTGGTGGTAAATCTAATTATAAATCTAATTATAAAAATGTGACTACAAACTCCACTGACCATAAAGCAAAAGACAATTTGAGAGATGGAGTTAAAAACAAATAATAGACTGTGATAGCATGGAATATTGATGAGGGAGCAGGAAGAAGCTAAAGTGCTTTAAGATTCTTATAATTTTTAGGGAGCAGATAGAATATCTGTTAATTGACTTTATAATTGAGTTTTTGTTTACTTGCATGTAAAATGGGGAAAGTAATAATATCTACCCTAGGATTGTTGTGAGAATTAAATAAATTCATATACAAAAAGCACTTAGAACAGTACCTGACATGTATTTAAGTTTTCAACACATATTTTAACTGTTTTTATTAATATCTTTATTTATGTTTTAAGAAAAGATATAGGATGTTTAAGAAAAGAAAGCAAATATTGGCTTTAAAAAAAGTTATAGTTGGCATAAGAATATTAATATAGACCAAAATAGATTTTAAGGCAAAAAAGCTTTATTGAAGATAATAGAACTCTTTACATAGTGGGAAAAGGGAAGAGTCACTATCAGAAAAAGAATCCTGAAACTATGTACATCTAAAACAAAAACTCAAACAAAACATAACAAAATGGGACAGGATTATAAGGAGAGACCCACAAATCCCAAATCATAGTAGATTTTAAACTACCTCTTTCAGGGGCACCTGGGTGGCTCAGTTAATTAAGTGTCTGGCTCTTGTTTTCAGTTCAGGTCATGATCTCATGATTCCTGGATTCGAGCCCCACATGGGCTCCACACTGAAAGTGTGGAGCCTGCTTGGGATTCTGTCTCTCCCTCTCTCTCTGCCCCCCCCCCCATTCTCCCTCCCTCTCTCTCTCTCTCTCTCTCCCAAAATAAATAAATAAACTTAAAAAATACTTTAAGAAACTGATGAAATAGATAAAAAACTTAGGACAGACGTAAACAATTTAAACACAGCTAGCAAGCATGATCTAACAAACTGTGGTCAAACAAGTATAATACCTCACACATGATAAAGCATGACAGAACTTTAACAAAAATATAGCCAGTTTGAGAGCACCTAGGTGGCTTATTCAGTTGGGTGTCCGACTTTTGATTTTGGCTTGGGTCATAATCTCAGGGTCGTGAAATCGAGCCCCAAGTTGGGCCCCACACTAAGCACAGAGCCTGCATATGATTCTCTCTCTCTGCCCCTACCTTCCCCCCCCCCAAAAATATATATAGCCAGTTTGGAGTCACAAATAAGTCTCAACATACTAAAAATTGCTATCAAATTTTCTGACCAAAATTTCATGCAATTAGGAATCAATAATAAAAAGGCAGCCCTCTAAAAATTTTTAGCCCACATGTTTGGAAACCTGGAAACTTCTAAATAATTCATTGTTCAGAAAAATCATAAAGGAAGGTATAAAATATTTAAAATGGAATGATAATGAAAACAGAAAACTTACAGGAAAAATGTACACCTGAATACTGCATTATACTAAAACAGTTCTTAGTGGAAATTTTATACTTATAAATGCATATATTTAGAAAGGAAGAATGATTGGGGCGCCTGGGTGGCTTAGTCAGTCTCACGGTTTGTGAGTTCAAGCCCCGCATCAGGCTCTGTGCTGACAGCTCAAAGCCTGGAGCCTGCTTCAGATTCTGTGTCTCCCTCTCTCTCTGCCTCTTCCCTGCTCATTCTCTGTCTCTATCTGACTCTCAAAAATAAATAAACATTTTTAAAAAAATTTAAAAACAAGAAGGAAGAATGATTGAAAACCCATGAGGCAAGCATTCAACTCCAAAAGATGGAAAAAAATAGAACCTCCTAAAATATAAGAAAGGAAATAGTAAAAGATAGAAACTATTAAATAGAAAATAAGATAATAATAAAGAAAAGCAACAAAATCAAAAGCAGGTTCTTTGAAAAGACTAATCAAATGGTAGATCTCTGGCAAGACTGATTTCTTTTTAAGTGGGAGAAGGGACAGACAATATGTATTTCAAAGGAGCTGATAAATTATCAGTTTAAATATCTGATGAGCAGTTTGAGATATATGAGCCAAATGCTTCTTAATGTGAGTCTAATTTGGGTGAAAGCTTTAAAAACTTACCATTCTGCTTCTCAAATATTAATGTTTTAATAGCTAAAAAGCAATTGATTTTCTCATTGATACCTTTCTTTTCAATAATATAGGAAATATTTTAACAATATTACATTTCCATACATGGGACTCAATAAAAGTATTTTGAATTTTAAAAAAGGAACCATTAGCATTGTTATTTTTCATAAATTGATCCTCTAAAGAGGTTCCTCACTCTCCACTCTTGTTTAATAATAATAATGCGGTTAACTAAAAGAATAACATGATTTAATTTGCCTCTTAGCCTACAGGCTCTAACTTGATCTGGCAATAACTCTTTTAGAAAAAAATTACTAACTAGTGTGTAATACCTTAGACAAATCACTTGAACCTGTCTGGGTCAAGGTTTTCCTCAACTCATAACTTTTGGTTTGGGACCAAATGATGCCTAAGATGTATGTCAACTATAAAGTGTACATATCTGGAAACAGCATAATACCAACCTAAACCTGTTTAAATAAGTGTAGCATCCTGGTTAAGAGAACAATCTTTGTAGCCAGATGACTGGGTTTAGATCCTAACTCTGCCACTTACTAGCTTTAGGGCCTTGGATAAGTTATGTAGTCATTCTGTGCCTCTGTTTCCTCATCTGTAAAATGGGAATAAGAATGATCAATTCAGTTTTGCAGATTAGTTTATATACGTAACACTTAAATCAGTTCCTGGTCCTAAAAATACTGTGTAAGTGTTAGCCATTATCATTAAGGTCATTGATTGTATTTCTAAACATTGTGGTCTGTTGAAAGTTATCTTCACTGGTTAGAGAAAGGGCTCCTTGAGCCTTACCAGAAAGTCTAAATACAATTTTGAATATAGTCCAGATTCAGTGATGGTACATTTTTCATCAGTGTATTGTGAAACTCCTTTAAAGGGAGCCACATACACAACTGTTTGTTATGTACACCTAGCAAGAAAAAGACCATTTATAATCTGTGGCTCTTTAACATATGTTCATTGTTAATAGAATGAAACGAAATCAAGGAAGTAATTATTAAGTAACTGGAATACTCTCTTTTTTTTTTTTTTTTAATTTTTTTAGTGTTTATTTTTGAGAGACAGACAGAGCATTAGTGGGGGAGAGGCAGAGAGAGATGGAGACAGAATCTGAAGCAGGCTCCAGGCTCTGAGCGGTCAGCACAGAGCGCAAAGCAGGACTCAAACTCACAAAACATGAGATCATGACCTGAGCCAAAGTCAAACGCTCAACCAACTGAGCCACCCAGGCACCCCTGGAATACTCTTAATGATATAGTAGAGTCTAAACAGTCTCTGATAACTGGTCCAAGTGTTATTCTTAGAGATATTAAAACTCCTCCTATTTAACAGTTGGAAAGTATATCAGAAGTGTAAGTCCTTCCATGAGAAGATGGAGATTAATGCTATTGATTGCATTTTATAGGATAAGATATCTAACTAATCCCCTTACAATAATAAAAATGTTTCAACAGGCATTGACCACCTGGTGAAAATTCAAATAAAGCATTCTTTTACTATTTCTCACCTAACTTTATTGACTGATGGTACTAAAATGTGAAAATTAATTACAAGTTAAAGGAACAAAGTAACTTAATTTTGGAGCTTTATTGAATGCAGACAGCATAGTACAAAATTCAGGAAACTAGTATTAACCTTTAGGCAAAGATTCTCTGAAATAAAGGTTCAATGTGTATCCTGGAATTTCATTTGTAGTTTTCTACAAAACAGATACATTTTTAGCTTGATTGTTTTTAAAAAGAGATGGATTTTAATAGGCTTTTTCCTCAAAGTTCTCTAAAATCATAAATAAAATATGTTACTGTTTTTCCCTTTAATTCTTTGTTAAATAAACTCTTACTATTTGGAATTTAGGGATATAGACAAGTCAAATAATAAAAAGTTAATAAACAAGAGAGATAACTAGTACTTTAGCACAACTTCTGAATCACAAGATTTTCTTTTTGGGATTTTAAAGACTATTTTGAGATAATTTAGTTACATGATTTTTTTGAAAGAAGCCGCAGATCCAAAGTAATAATGAGGGTAATTATTGTTCATCAGTTTCTGAACCAACTTAGTGAAATTACAAATACCAGAGAATAGAAAATATACTTTGGTATAAGTATATTTGGTATAAGTAAACTTACTTACCAAAGTAAGTACACTTTGGTATAAGTATATTTGGTATAAGTAAAAATGAGCTTTTCCTCTAGTAATAGGAGCAAGTAAGAGTAATGGAATAAGAATTAAGTGAAGAAAAAAGAGTAAACCAGCATTGGAAAGTCCGTTCCAGACTACTCTGATATGTTAATAAATTACATTTGAAAATGTAAAGAAATTGCCTTTGTGTTTTCTGTGTACTGGGTTTCATCTGGAAGTATTGGATCCTCCTGAAGTATTACATAGAGCTGTACTGTCCAATATGTTTAGGTATAGAGCATTTAGAAGGTAGATCAGAATCAAGATGTGCTATAAGTGTAAAATACACACCAGATATCAGACGGTGTGAAAAAGAGAATATGAATGATATCATTAATAATCTTATATTATTATGTGTTAAAATTATAGTATGTTGTGTATATTGGGTTAAATGAAATATTAAAGTTTATTTCACTATTTTTTTCCTCGAAAGAATTTCACTAGTAGAAGAGTTTGGTTTGTTTGTTTGTTTGTTTGTTTGTTTTAATTTTTTTTAATGTTTTATTTATTTTTGAGACAGAGAGAGACAGAGCATGAACAGGGGAGGGTCAGAGAGAGAGGGAGACACAGAATCTGAAGCAGGCTCCAGGCTCTGAGCTGTCAGCACAGAGCCCGACACGGGGCTTGAACCCACGGACCGTGAGATCATGACCTGAGCCGAAGTCGGATGCTTAACCGATTGAGCCACCCAGGTGCCCCACTAGTAGAAGAGTTTGAATTACATAAGTGGCTCACATTATATTTCTGTTGGAGAATGTGAGCTAGGTTTTCATGGTAGATTGTATCAAACAATTTTTTTAGAAAAATAATGAGAATGTTGAGTAAGAGTTCTTGTGCCAGTTGTTGAACAAATGGAACTGCATAAAAATACGTAGAGGTTGTCACCAGTTCTACATTTTATTTATTTATTTATTTATTTTTTACCAGTTATACATTTTTTTTTAATTTTTTTTTTAACGTTTATTTATTTTTGAGACAGAGAGAGACAGAGCATGAACAGGGGAGGGTCAGAGAGAGAGGGAGACACAGAATCTGAAACGGGCTCCAGGCTCTGAGCTGTCAGCACAGAGCCTGACGCTGGGCTCGAACTCACATACCGTGAGATCATGACCTGAGCCGAAGTCGGACGCTTAACTGACTGAGCCACCCAGGCGCCCCACCAGTTATACATTTTAAAAAGTGATTTCTCTGGACTGTTTTTCAGTGAAAAGTTTGGATTATTCATTTATTTGCTTCCTTATTCATTCAACAAACATTTATTAAAGGCCAATATATGTAAGACGTTAAGAATCTTTTTGCTAATATGTTCTCAAATATTGTTTGTATTATTGTTGTATTTAAATTAAATTATTGTATTATTATACATCAAATATGTTTAAAGTATATGGATTACTGTACTATGCAGTACAGTAGAAAAAAATAACTAAATGGGGAGCCTATAAAACAATTATCTATGACTAATATTATCTATGATAATAGTAATTGACCACTAATAAGTGCAAACATCATATTCTACCAGAACTATAAAATCAAATTTACATTTCAACCCAGCACACAGATCTTTCCAAGAATTTACTAAATCAATATGCATTTTTTCAATATGCAGTTAAAATCAGGTACGTTGATTCCTAATATCAAATTTATTTTACTGTGATAGCACTAGGAACTCACTATTTTCTAGCTAGAAGCATAGCACCAACCCCTTGTTAACTTTGAGGCAAAAAATAGGGGTGAAATAATACAAACTAGAAACTTTAAAATAATGTTTTTTATTAAACTATCTGATGAAAGTATCTGTCATCTAGTAAAGATTCTTTTTCCTATATAATGTCCTCATGAATAAAAAATTGAGAGATTGGGGGGGGGCACCTGAGTGCTTAAGATGGTTGAGCATCCAACTCTTGATTTCAGCTCAGTTCATCATTCAAGGGTCATAAGATTGAGCCCTGCATGGGGCTCTGTGCTGAGTGTAGAGCCTGCTTAAGATTCTTTCTCTCTCTCTCTCTCTCCCTCTGCTCCTCCTTCACCCAACCTCTCCCACCCCCATGCACTCTTTCTAAAATTTAAAAAGAGGGGGGTGGAGATTTTAAAATAAAAAAACAAAATAGCTATTGAAAAGTTATTCATAATAATGATTTTTTTTCCATAACAAATTGCAGGATACTTTTTCTTTTCCTACTCCCTTTTGTCTACCCCTTTAGCTTCTATTTAAACTTTGGCGAACTAATTCTATTTAAAACTTGACAATTTTCCCTTAACTTTATGTTCTTCTTTTTACTGTATGTATATAGGAAAGAGGAAAAAAATGAATCACCTCAGTTTAAATGAAAGGAAGGAATCTACAACAAAAGACAATGATGAGTAAGTTTGTTGTTTTTAAAATAATTCTACACAGGTGTCTTTTTAATTTGTTTTAATTTACACTCAAGTTAGTTATCATATATAGTGCAACAATGATTTCAGGAGTAGATTCCTTAATGCCCCTTACCCATTTAGCCCATCCCCCCTCCCACAACCCCTCCAGTAACCCTCTGTTCTCTATATTTAAAAGTCTCTTATGTTTTTCCCCCTCCCTGTTTTTATATTATTTTTGCTTCCCTTCCCTCATGTTCATCTGTTTTGTATCTTAAATTCCTCATATGAGTGAAGTCATATGACATTTGTCTTTCTCTGACTAATTTGGCTTAGCATAATACCCTCTAGTTCTGACCACATAGTTGCAAATGGCAAGATTTTATTCTTTTTGATTGCCAAGTAATATTCCATTGTATATATATATCACATCTTCTTATCCATTCATCCATCAATGGACATCCGGACTCTTTCCATACTTTGGCTATTGTTGATAGTGCTGCTATAAACATGGGGGTCCATGTGTCCCTTCGAAACAGCACACCTGTATCCCTTGGATACATGCCTAGTAGTGCATTTGCTGGGTCGTAGGGTAGTTCTATTTTTAGCTTTTTGAGGAACCTCCATACTGTTTTCCAGAGTGGCTGCACCAGCTTGCATTCCCACCAACAATGCAAAAGAGATCCTCTTTCTCCGCATCCTCACCAACATCTGTTGTTGCCTGAGTTGTTCATGTTAGCCATTCTGACAGGTGTAAGGTGGTATCTCATTGTGGTTTTGATTTGTATTTCCCTGATGATGAGTGATATTGAGCATTTTTTCATGTGTCAATTGGCCATCTGGATGTCTTCTTTGGAGAAGTGTCTATTCATGTCTTTTGCCCGTTTCTTCACTGGATGATTTGTTTTTTGGGTGTTGAGTTTGATAAGTTCTTTATAGATTTTGGATACTAACCCTTTTTCTGATATGTCGTTTGCAAATATCTTCTCCCTTTCGATTGCCTTTTGGTTTTGCTGATTGTTTCCTTCGCTATGCAGAAGCTTTTTATTTTGGTGAGGTCCCAATAGTTCATTTTGCTTTTGTTTCTCTTGCCCCCGGAGACATGTTGCATAAGCAGTTGCTGCAGCCAAGGTCAAAGAGGTTTTTGCTTGCTTTCTCCTCGAGGATTTTGATGGCTTACTGTCTTACATTTAGGTCTTTCATTCATTTTGAGTTTATTTTTGTGTATGGTATAAGAAAGTGGTCCAGGTTCATTGTTCTGCATGTCGCTGTCTAGTTTTCCCAGCACCACTTGCTGAAGAGACCGTCTTTATTCCATTGGATATTCTTTCCTGCTTTGTCAAATATTAGTTGCCCATACGTTTGTGGGTCCATTTCTGGGTTTTCTATTCTGTTCCATTGATCTGAGTGTCTGTTTTTGTGCCACACACACGTGTCTTGAAAGAAAAGGGTCATATTTGTAAAAGTAATAATGTAAGAGAAATAACTTATTTGCAGAAATTAAAAAAGTTTATATCTGAGTTGAAGTATTCTTCTTTCCTTTTTTTAATGTTTATTTATTTTTGATAGCATGCACAAAAGTGCGTGCCCGAGCATGATAGGGGCAGAGAGAGAGGGAGACAGAGGATCGGAAGCAGGGTCCACACTGACAGCAGAGAGCCTGGTGTGGGATTGGAACTCACAAACCATGACATTATGACCTGACACTTAACTGACTGAGCCACCCAGGCATCCCTAAGTATTCTTTTCAAAGAAGAAAATACTTTGTGGTGTATTTTACAGTGTTCATGTGATCATGGTATCTGATATCTTAATTTTAATACTCATTGAGCCCAGTTTCCAAGCCCATGAATAAGAGACTAGCTTAAGGTAAAACTGAGGAAAATGCCCTTTTCAGATTTTACATAGGTGGAAAAGTAATACATTGTCTGGGAACATAATGCCTAACAAAGATCTGGCTCAAGAGCTAGGAACACAATGAATGAAGCCAGCAGATTAAGGGATCCGGAGGAACCTAGGGGACCTATATGCCAGCATCCAACTGTTTTCATATTGGCCAGCCAGTGTTGCCTTGAATGAAGATATTATCTACAAAAATCTACTTTCCACATATGTTCTGGAAAGAATACTTACATCTATCCAGTGAGGCTGGAAAAATTGAATTAAGCAGAATAGGGGGTTAAATTTTCAAAGTAGTTCATATGTTCAGCTCATTTACCCTTTCAGCTATATCGTCTGTGTGCCTCACAATGTGATGGATGGGTAAAGATGAAGAAGATGAAGTTTCTCCCCTTTGGGAGCTTATGGTCTTATGTTGTAAGTTAGCATACCTTTCCAAACTTAGAAAAAGGTTATAAGGTATGTTTCAAAATGTTTTTTAAATCATTTGAGTGGAATTCAGAATGCATTTTCCATACAAACGGTGTTGTAATTTGTGGTTATAACTCCAGAAGTCTATTTTTTCATAATGTAGCTGAACTATAGTATTAGTCTAGGTTAAAATATACAAAAATTGAATGCCATTTAGAGTACAGCAAGGACAAAGGGAAGAGTTTCTCAAAGAAATTTTCTTTGTTTGGCATCTCATACGTTATTGTACCCCTTTAATCTGTTTTTACTAGCTGCTTTTCCTAGCCATGTTCCCCCAGCTCCAAATCTTTTCATGTACCCTGTCCCACAAATATTTTTGCTGTAAATTACTACTCCTTCCTTTCCCTAAGCAAATTTCCCATTTCCTCAGTGAAATCAATCTCAACTAGATATTGAGAGACAAGCATTCTCTTTTTGTTTAACTTATTTAATGTCTTTTTAAATTGGCAAGATATACAGATGTAAAAATCTCAAATTGTCCAAAAGGACATACGGTGAGAGCAAGTGGCAAGTAACAGTTTTTGAATCATGTATAATCCTATTTTGAAAGCAGATACCTGTGAAACCAAATGAATTTCTGATATAATTATATAAAGTGTAACAAACTTAGGAGTAAAAGTAGGCAGTGAAGGAGGAAATGTTTTGAAACAACAGCAATACCACATAAGAAGCCAAACTTACCTTTGCTCTCCTCCCAATCAGCTCCTCTTAAGCTACTCTAACTTTTTATACTTTCTTCCCTTCCTTATTTTTCTGAACCCATCAATTTGCTTATATCCACATTTTTAACAACAGCTCTCATAGCAGTGGGCTTTCAAGTAGCAAGGGAGGAACAAGAACCCTTGTTATGGTTCACTTAGGAATTTGCCTATATTTTTAATTTCTAAAGATCGCTGTTATTTATGGATAGTACTCCATGACTTGATACTAAAATTAGTGAACTTAAGGACAAGCCAAGATATTTTTCATTAGATAAAAATTATGGCTTGCTGATTGTTTTTTCCACTCATAAAATTATTCAATCCTAGTCAGTAAAGCCATTTACCAGCTTTAGTAATGGGTTCTTCATTTATTCCACTTGTTTAAATTTCTTTTATTATCCTGTAAAGCCATTCTAAAGACTTGGGGTTTTTTTTAATCTTAAATTGAACATTTCACTTTTGTACATCAATTTTAAATGATCATAGCATTTTATATTTTGTTTTGGCAATTGTGTAGGTTAGGGTTGTCCAGAGAAACAGAACCAATAGCAGATACATATATATGTAAGAATATAATAATAATACAGTATTAATAAAATATAATATTTAAAGATAAAATGGTATAGATATAATTCTTAAAATGTATTGATAATGAGATATATATGTGTGTGTATATATATATATATAAATACTTGCATATATAGAGATACATTGATTATGAAGAATTGGCTCATAAAATTATAGAGGCTAAGTCTCACCATCTACCATCTGCAAGCCTGAGACCCAAGAAAGCCAGCAGTGTGATTCTAGTTCAAGTCCAAAGGCCTGATAATCAGGAGAGCTGATGGTATAAATCCTAGTTCAAGAGCAGGAAAAGAGCAGTGTCCCAATTCAGGCAGGCAAGCAAGGCACCAATCCCCCCTTCCTCTACTTTTGTTCTATTTAGCCCCTCAACAGATTGAATGATGCCCACCCACACTGGGAAGATAGTCTACCTTAGTTTTTACTAAGGTGGTTATACTGTGGTGATTTTCTAACTCCATCCTTCCTTCTATTGGTCGGCCTTTTTAAAATTCATGAGTTCATAGTGATAAAGGTTTTTTCCTTGCCTTCCCTCTTTCCATATTCTCACCTCTTCTCAAACATTAGATCTTTGGTTCCTAACAGCAGCAATATATTTTCACATTTGGTCATTCTTATCACATACACAAAATAGTTTCAGAATTCCTGCACTCATAGCACTACTAAAAACAAAACTGCAAAGCACTCAAGATTTGTTTGCAATCTTTTGTTGTCTTTAATAAGACAACTAATAATACTGTTGACAGTATATAGTCAAATTACTGTTCCAAAACTACTTGGATTAGTTCTTTAAGTTTTTTTTTTTATTTTAATTCCAGTATAGTTAACATACAGTGTTTTATTAGTTTCAGGTGTACAATATAGCAATTCAAGAATTCTATACAATACTCAGTGCTCATCATGATAAGTGTACTCTTTAATCCCTATCACCTATTTCACCCATCCCCCCACCCACCTCCCCTCTGATAACCATCAATTTGTTCTCTATAGATAAGAATCTGTTTCTTGGTTTCTCTTTTTTTCCTTTGCTCATTTGTTTTGTTTCTTAAATTCCACATATGAGTGAAAGCATACAGTATCTTTCTTTCTCAGACTAACTTATTTTACTTAGCATTATACTCTCTAGCCCCATCCATGTTGTTACAAATGGCAAGATTTCATTCTTTTTTATGGCTGAGTAATATTCCACTGTATGTATATAAAGATATATGTACATCTTTATCCATTCATCAGTCACTGGGCACTTGGGCTGCTTCCATAATTTGACTATTGTAAATAGTGCTGTAATAAACATAAAACTGCATGTATCCCTTTGAATTAGTGTTTTTTTTATGCGGGGGGTGGGGGGGTGGGGTG